TCCTAATATTATTTATTTATTATTTATTGTTATTATTATTCTATTATTTAATACTATTAAAAGTATTAATTTGCTTTCACTTATATTATTATGTTACTTTGCTTGCATTATCACTTTTAAATTGCTTTCAAATTTGTTTGGTAGCCATAAAGTTTATTTTGAAAAAAATAACTTATTTTATTTAAAATTTCATTTTAAATATAAAATAACAAAAATTGTAAATATTTATACTTAATCTTCGGCAGAAATGGCAGAACACTATGCATTTTATTTTATTAAAAAGAAACAAGATACTTCGTTAAAATGAAGTATACTTTCGGGCTGAAGATTGAAACTTTCTTCCTTTATTTCACTAAATTGCTCGAATTTTTATGTTTTTAAATAAATTCACTAAACCAAATTTATTTATATTTATTTATATATGTTTACATGTTTATGTGCATAAAAATTAGAGCAAATATAGAATAAAATACACAAAATTGCTCACTTAATATATAAATGAAATTATTTATTTATTCTATTTGTCTAATCGAATCAAAACTGATTTATGCAAAATAAAAATGTGATATTTATGTTATTGTTTTAAAAAAAAATTAATACATATGAAAGAATTTATTCTATTTAAAGCTAAACAATATAATTTAATTTCAGGAGACTTTAAAATTTCTTAATTGAGAAGATACAAATACCAAAAGCAAATATTTTCATATATTAGGATTCTTAATATTATAAATATTTTTTGATTGTTTTCTTTAAAAATATTTTAGTAAAGCTGTTTGGAGTAAATTAGAAAATTCTTAAGTAGTATATATACATTTGATATATACATTACTCTATTAAATTAAGATGTAAAACTGCCTTAAAAGTTATTTATTCAAACTTGTTTACTTATTAACTTATTTAGTTTCTGTTTTTAGTTTCACTAGGACAATTTCACTGCCAGACACTTAGCAACATTTATTATTAAAATTGAATATAACTTTGGATTATTTACTAATTAATTAATACTTACGTTTAAAAACCAAGTTAACACCACTTGTTTTTTAACCGGAACAGTTTTAGTCGAAAGAGTCTAACTTCTTGCTAAAGTGTGATAATGTATGATCCACACTAGGCCAAGATAACTGATGTTGGGTATTTGCCAATAATCGAAACAGTATAACCATGGAATACCTCAAGGATTCACTGTTTGGATATTAGTATTCACTTTGCAACGGCTACGCTAGCCATGCTAATAAATATAAATAACTGAGGAAAGTAAGAAAAGTCTGGATGAATGAAGCTTGTTAATAAATCACAAGCTTGAATTGGTCCTAACTAGAAAAAAACTGCGTGGGCAAGGTGCCCATTGGTATTGGTGCTGACAGGTCTCTATGTATTAGAAAGACAAGCAATTAGATTTGGTTTATTCTATGAGTTTTGTTGGGACTCTGACGAAAACTCTGCAGTAGAAGATTAAAAGTCAATCAGTATTGTCATCATTAACATGGAACTTTTAATAGACTTTTAAATTAAGGAATTTCTTAATTAATATTTCATTTATATAAATCCAGTCTATTTTAAAAGTCTCGTTTAGTGTTAAAAATATGTGATTTTTTATTATTGTGTAAAGTCTGTTGAAATCTCGTTGAAGAGTCACATTGAAGTCTGTCACACAACGGTTTTTCAACAACAGAATAACATAAAATACATTATAACTGGAGATGAAGCTTGGAAATTTGCGATTTTAATCTAAAATCTGAGGTCTGATCAAGTGAATACCGTGCAAAACTTAAGCGGAAATGGGAAAGATCACACCAAATTCGTTAAAAGTTTGAGTTCATGTTAATAATTTTTTATGTATATCTTAGTGTAGTGCATTTTTCACACCTGGGCAAACTATAATATATATATTTACTTCTAAAAAGAAACTAGTATTAATATCTGTTAATATATATTAACGCTATCATGAATCCTAAAGAAAATATATATACATTTTGTTTGAAGTTTTAAATTACACTTTAATTTAGTTTTTATTCATTTATGTTTTTAAATGTTTATTTTTATTATATATTACTACAACGATAAGGGAGCAATTTAAAGATAATGAAATATATTAAAAATAACAGATAAAGATTTTAAAAGTAATCAATAATTTTATCTTAATTTTGTTATGTTATGGCACCACTAATCAAATTTTATGTCCACAATATTTGGCATTGAGAATTAAAATTACTGAAATCTTAATTTTTTTAAAAAAATCATATATGTATGAATAATAAATAATTATTTAAAGTATTAAACAAAAATTCAAATTCCATTATAGCAAAAATCAACTATTTCATACGACAAACTCTGACAATTTCTTTTCATTGACGCATTCTTTACTTTATTTATTAACTCACAAATTCACAAATTTATTACTTATACCGTAACAAATTTCTCTCCCATATGCTGTATCAGAACCATGAAAAAACAATTCAAAATTTTGAATATTGGTTCCTACATACACACAAACATATATGTGTTCTATATCAACATTTTGTCTCTCATATCCTTAATTTATAACAATTGTAACATTCTTGAAGAGAAATTTTGAAACAAAACTCAAGCTCAAGTATTCAAGTATGCTTATTATTTTGAGTCCATATGCCAAAAATATTTTTCAGTCTAATCACTTGTTTCCAACCTTAAGGTCTTGTTTTTTTTAAATAATTTACAAGCTAGAGAAACAATGGAACAGAGCTCAATAAAATTAACACATACAATTACCTAGTCAACGATGTTTAGATTTTATTATTTGCACAAAACTACATGTCACATAGTATTTACAAATATACATCAATTAATTTGTCAGTATATCCTAACAGCATGCCTAGCCTGCCGAAAGGATGTCCTTTGAAGAAATAGGATATTTGAATTTTGTGATTATTTTGCGTTAAAATCCAATTTTCATTTTATAGTTTCCAAAATATTTCATAATATCCCTTGAAGTCCATATGTACAGAGCATATTATAATATAAGCATGCAAATTGTGTAATTTCTGTGTGATTGATTACACATCCCACAATTAACAAAGGAACAGACTGCAGAAATATTTATGGGAAAATGAAAATTTTGCAGGAAAAAATTTAGCAGTTGAAGTACGAGCAAAAATTAGATTATTGTACTATTTATGTGATATTATTTTATTTGTCAATAATACAACTGTGCATATTACCTTTGCTAACAACACAGAGGTTATGGTTCATATGGAATTGTGAATTTGAGGCACGTTAGCAAACCTAATATCGCCGAAAGGATGAAAAATATAATTTCTTTTGTGTTATTCGGTATGCTTATGTTTTTAATTAAAAGAATATTTT